GAAGCCAGAAGTGGTTTGGAAGCATTTAGTAGCTCAAGAAGGAGCATGAAACCTTATCTGCTGCTTACTTGAACATTCAATGATTTTAGCAGTTAGAGGACTGTAATTGGAATCCATTTCTGATGCTTTCTTTTCAGCTTCATCTTCAGTTTGTTGGCTTCAGCTGTTTGCTAAAATAAGTGTAGCTCTCTTCCAGAACTTAAGCTTGTCATTAAGTTGTGAGTTAAAATATTGCTGTGCCTGTTGGTATTGACTAGGCAGATCTGGACTACGCCAGTCAGAATGGTCAGGTATGACCCCAGAACTCCAATATGCATGCATTTTCTTGTAAGGCTGGCTTAGTTTTCTCTTTCAGGGGAAAGGAGCAGTTCTTGCTGCCACTGCCTCTGCCCCTGGTAGTAGAAACCAGGATGAATAATATGTCTCTTGGGGAAAAATATATTGCCAAAAATTGCTATTTTTAGTTTACCTGCGTTACTTATGCAGCTGTTTTTAAATTTCCATTCTCTGGTATGTTACCATTTATTTATCAGTGAAGGGAGGTTGGTTATAACTGCTGATAGATTGAAGCTTTGGCCTGGTTGCATTTTAAATAGACATCTCCCTAGTGACGAGGTATTAATGTCACATTAACAATTAGTATTTGGAATGGCGAGCTGAGCAAACCAAGACATGTTTCAAGTCAGCCTTTTAAAAAAAGAAAGAGGGAACAAAAGACACATGTACTGTGACAGCATGGCACAGAATGTACTCCATCATCAGGACTTCACATTCCTCATGTTGACAAACTTAACTTAGGGGCCTGCTGACTGTTCATGCAACTGGACTGTTCTTAAAACTGGTTTGATCACCTTTGATAATGCCTTATAGGGACAACATTCATTCTTACGTCTGCTTTGGTGGTTCCCCTTTCTTCCCTGCATAAAGGATGTGGGGGGAGGGGCATGGGAGCTTGGCAGTGGTAAGCAGGGAGCTCCCACAGATATCGCCAGTGCTGTCGGCAGCGGGGGAGTGGCAAGTGCTGACCAGGGGTACTGACGCTGCTGGCAGTGTTGGCAGTGGGGTGGGGGTGGGGTTGGCGAGCAGTGTAGGAGGTGCATTGCTGTGCTTGGGGTGCATGTGCACCCACTATGTGTTGCCAATGCCTCCCTGGCCCACAGAAAAAAATACTGAGCAAGTAATGTGTGGCTGGCAACACTATACTTTGTTTTCCCTGCCCACCTCAGTTTTAACTTCTTCAATTCCTGTGGCTGCAAGCAATCTTGGAGGGTCTCAGGAGGAAACATGTTACCTGTGAGCCATTTGGGGACCACTGAACGCTTGACCTATTGTCCAGTACTTGTCATCTCCATCAGGCAACTTCAGAGCAAAATCTAGGTCTGCTTTGAAATCATTGGCATGGTTGATTTAAGTAGGATTTGGGCCCTAGAACTCACTGAAAAACCCAGTTTCTACTTCCTCCCATGTTTTGTCCTTAGCACTAATCCATTCTGTCAGCCTTGGTGACTGGGTGGCTGATGGTACAGTGTAATGCCTTTAATTTGAGCAGAGAGGAAAGTAGAAATTCCATCACTGAAGGAGACCCGCCAGAGACAGAACTTTAAAATGGGTAATATGTTGTTATTGCAGACCAGTTAATATAACTTATGTAACTTATAGACTAAACAAGAGAGAGGCCTAAAATGTACATCCCTCTCGGCCTCTCACAACTTCAAGAGGACAGAAAATTGCTGAGCATCTGCTCTTATGTTGCACTGTGTGGTGGGGTTGGCTCATAGGGTCTACTTAGTGCTTCTGGTCCCCTACCTTGCTAGTTTCTCGTCCTCTTCTCATTTTTCCCACATATTCCCTAACTCTCTTCCTCTTCCCTACTGTATCATTTTCTAGAGAATATTTATGGCTTCTGGGGGGTAAGGGTTGAAATTGCAGAATAACTGAATAACAGAGGGACTTAATGCTGAATCTTGTATATCCTAGTGAGTGCCATAACACCAGGCTGTTGGCTATTCTGAGGGGGAAAGACACTTGGTTACTGAGGATCTTTGGTTTCCATCCAATGAGAAATGCAAACTTTTTAAAAATTTACAAAAGTGTCACAGGGTAGGAAGGTCATTTCCAGCTCGGTTTTAGTTGCAACAGCTGGAGGTACATTTAAAATTCCCCTGGAAACATTTTGAGTGATTAAGCTGGAAAAGAGATCCTCCAGCTCAGGATCTGATTCTTTCCAGTCAGTGTGTTTAGTGCTGTTCTTTGTTAGCCCTGCTAGGAATACATTTTGTAGGTCAGCACTGAAAAATGGCTAATATGAGATTAATAGCATCTTGCATCTCCAAAGAATTGTTCCTGGCTTGCACATGCAGAAAGGTCCAAAACAGTGGTTTAGTTCAGGGTATAGAGCACAGTTTGCTGCTGTATCTGTTTTAAGACTAGCTGTAGGTAGAGAGCAAGTTTGTGGTTATTACTGGGGACATAGCTGGTAGTTCTAGTGCCCCAGGCTGTTGACTGACTAATTATTAATAAATACAGAAGAGTGTGCTTGCGTGCGCGCTAGATAACATTTGGTAATGAAACATTTTTTGGAGAGAAATTGCTTAACTTTTCCTTGAATGAAGATCTTTGATTGTCTTAGTTTTTTTTTTTTTCTGAAAAATACTCTGGAGAAAATCATTTGCAAGAACCAATAGAGTTTTACAGGGAAGTTATTTACTTCAGAGCTGTTCAGAACTTGGCTCAGACCTATCAGAATGGTAGCATCTCAGAGAAAGCTGTGTTATCTCGTTTATTTATAGAGGTTTCCTTCCTGTAGCAAAGCACAAGAATCCTCTTGGTTGGCAGAATATCATTTTTGTCCCTTGTAACAGCTTGTTATTTTCTCTTCTATTTCTTCAGGTGTGATTCTGTTGTAGAATAGTAATGCTTTTCTCAGTGGATCTGTTTCTTGCATATCTTTGATGATAAAGATAAGGCTTTACTGCTTTCTTTACTCTCCTTCAACTGCAGAGACGACACAGCTGTGAGAGGGTGAGGAGTTGTTTGGTCTTCTGATGAACAAATGGGAACTGGTTTAAGTACTGCGCGCCTATCTATATCTATATATATTCTCATTGAAACTATTGAGGTCAGAAATTCCCTCAGAGGAGGCATATACAAGTTTTTGGGTCTTGAACTTTAAATGTGCTGTTATAGGAAAGGAAGGAGGCTGGAGGAAAAAAAAGCTACCCAAAGCTCTTATTTGACTGTGTGCCAGGTAGAGAGAAACTGAAAATCAAGGGAGAAGAACTTACAGGATATGAGCTGTTTTACTAACCTAGGGCTAATTAACTTTTTTTAAAAGGATAGCCATGGTAGCTGCTATCTTACGTAAAATTACATAGTGGCTGCCATGAAGAGCATACTGTGGCCTATACAGTATCAAGTGCAACACTGGAGCTTACCAACTAATTGACTATGCCTTAATTGAATAGTCCGGCTGCATCTGCTGTCTGTCCTTCTCTGACCCTATCCTCTGTGTTCTATCATTGAGACTGTAAACACTCTGGGGTAAGGGACAGCCATACTGCAAGGTGCTTTAGCACTTGTGCAGACTGCTTAAAAAAAACAAGGCTGAATCACTCAGTTGATACAAGTTAAATGATGGCACTGCAGATTGATAGATAAGAAAATCTTCAAAATGTTCCATTGTATATAGTAGGAATCTGTGTAATCTTATTTTAGGGCCAGAATTTGACCTAAACTCCACTGACTTCAATGCATTTATTACCTCAGAGAAGTCGCTCCGGATTTCTAATAGCATAACTGTTAGAATCTATTTCTTAATGATTTCACTGGGACATGCAGTCAGACATGTTTCAGAAATAAAAAGATGAGGTGTTCAAGGGTGTGCAACCTATGTGCATCCTGTCACAAGCACAGCACTCTGTAAAGTCAGCAGAAAATTATAAAGAATGTATTTTGAAGATGTAGGCATCTTCTCTTCTTCTTTTTGGGCAGCATCTGACTTTCCTGTCTTCTTGTATCATCTGGGTTACCCTGTGGCTGCATTTATACATCTGGGGATATTTATAAAAATACATTAAAACTTTAAAATACATTAAAGCTTTAAAAATGGCCTGAATAAAATTGGGCTGTGGACATGCATAAGAGTTGAATTGTCCCCAAAAGTTATTGATTGGGAACCACTTCACAACTGTGTGAAGTGCTGTGGTTCTGACACTGGGGGTGGGAGGGAAACCCAGCCCAGTATGGCTTTTGGTGGGTGAGTGGAAGGGTGGGGGAGTGTTTGCAACCACATTTTGGGGCCCTAGGGAGTAGGTGACCTTTGACTGAGGGGTGTTGTCACTTTTCTGCTTTCCTTTCTCTCTAAAACGTGAGTTAAATACACATGAGTAGCCTGTAAATGACTGAAGTTTGCAGTTTGTGTGACCCACACTTTTGTGTTCTCAGGGCCTGGGGGAACATGATGATGAGCTGTGGTTGAATAGGGAGTGAGTATGCAGCTGATTGTTAGATAGCTTTTCTAAAGCATGCAGTGCAAGGGTGCTCATACATAAAAAGTGCAAATGAAAGGGGAAAAAAAGGGGGAAGTAGAGTTATGGCTGCATAGAGTGGCCAGTTTCAGCAGTGTGGTTTGGGGGTGAGAAGAAGCAATTCTGTGTGGGATGCCTGAAGGACCATCTAGACCTGTGTCACAGGACGTTTGGGTGGCCACACAAGATTGAACTGGTTTAAAATAGTATTGGATTTCTATATATGCTTTTGAACCATTGCAGGCAGATTTAAACCAATTTCACAGGTTTATATGTCTGATTGCTTTGGGTTTAAATGGTATTTAAATTATTCTAAGTGTTGTGTCCATACCCTTAGGTATGTAATTCTGTGTACCTAAATAAGTGGCCTGATTTTTGGAAGTACTGAGCACAGACATCAGAGTGAAACTTGCTTTATAAAGCTCATGCTCTGTTGAAATCTCTTATAGTTTTTTTTTTTTTTTTCTCTTACAGGCGTTATGGATTATGGTTCCGATTACGGAAGTTAATAATCTGGTTGGTGGGAGTGTACATAGCCATTCCATTCCTAGTAAAACTTTGTCCTGTTATTCAGGCAAAGCTGGTCTTCTTAAATTTTGGTAAGTGATCATGTGTTTGTGTGTTAGAGAAGCTTGTGGAACATTTTCAGGAGTGTTGCTTTTATTTTAAAAAAATCTTAGCAAAATGGCACTGTGCTTATCTTCCTACATAACATATGTTCATGTACAAGAATTGCATCCCTTTGTGCTCAACTGTATATTTGTCCTGTGCCAAAACAAGTTAGAAAAACTCCAAAATCAGGGTATGTTTGTTTCTTTTTCATATCGGACAGCTGTGTTTGGCATTCATCAAAATTTTCTGATGAGAACCTCCAGAGATAATTGTAAAATACATCTCTGCTTTAAAAGACCTCTCAATTCATTTATCATCCGTGTCCACTTATGGTTTATGAAGGCTAGAAATGTTCATAGGTTTATACATTTTGTGAGTTGTTAGATCTGTAACCTCTAAGCTTATGGCCCTAGTAACAATTGAAAATGTTTTGGATTTGGATAGAATGGTCAAATTCCAATTCGTTTCTTAATTTGAAATGATAAGAAAAGAGAATGTATTTTATTGAAAGGATTATTAAAAATGTATGTGGAATGCATGCAGGTTATTCAGGTCCCATGTCAGCTAAAACATTTGAAGTTGTGTATAATAAATGTGTATCATCTTCCAGACTTTGGTTCTTCACAGACAAACATTTTTAGGAGAGTATACTGGATGTAGCAGATGCAACTTCTCAGGGGCTGACTCACTCCCTTTCTCCAAGTGTTTTGGGTACTCCTACATAGGAAGACAGTGGCTAACTCCAGATGTTTCAAAGGAAGACATAGAATATCTCCCTGAAGGGGAAATTTCTTCCCTTTAAATCAGTGGTTCTCAATTTTTGTGGACTCAAGGCACCCCTCATTGGATTTGAGGCACCCTTCCATACCTTTTGTGAATTGCGTGGCACTCAATTTCAAGAACTAATTGATAGATTACAGTGCTTGCTTTCTTGAAGAGGGCCTTGCAGTGGGGTCATGCAAGCAGGGACAAGTCTTGGCCTACTCTTATCTGCTTAGTTTAGTTGCTTATCACCTAAAACTTCACTTATGTCCTTGCACCTCATGGCACCCTTCAAAAGATCTGGGGCCCTGGCATCTTGGTTCAGAATCACTGGTCTAGGTGCTCATATGATCCCCATTACTGCAATATGTAATAACTTCACTGACATTAATGTTTACATCCCTATAACACAGATTGGAACCTGAGGCACTGCCAGATTAAGTAATTTACCCAGAGCATCTCTCAGGATTTGTCTACATGTGCAATTAATATACATGAATAAACTCCAGAGCATACTGCTCCAGAGTTTATTCACGTGCAGCACGTTGAGCCCAGTCAGAGCAGCCCAGGTGGGCAGGAGACCCAGGAAGTTAGCCTGCCAGCCCAGAGCTGCACTGACTGGGCTCTATATGCTGAGGAGGAACTGACTTGGGGATGAGGGGGCTTCAGTGTGGGGCTAGCCTGCGGGCATCCTCCGTGCTTAAGCACCCTCATGCCCCAGCAAGCAGCTCCATAGCATGTGAAGCCCCTGGACTGGCTGCTCCGATGGGGCCTATGGGCAGCAGAGGGGCTAAATGAGACATGAGGATGCTTCAGCGTGGGGGTTGCCTACCAGCTAGCCCTGCACTGAATCATCTTGTGTTCTAGCCAGTCCTGTCACTATCTATACATATGCTGCAGCACATGAAACAATCCCTCTGCACAATAGTACTCGTGGTTAGCTGGGATACCCTCTTGTGGTGTTTAGTAGTCTACTGCGACCTAATAGGGTTGCATGTGTAGATGGTACATTTTACTGCAGAACTAATTTAGTCATCTCCGCAGTAAGTGTCTCGTGTAGATGTGCCCTTGGAGTTTTAACATAGAGCTGGAGATTGTATGCTGATTTTAGTCCGCCTTGTTCAAATCCTGAAAATCCATTAGTGCATCTGCTTTTGTAATACCCCATCATCTTACCCTCCAGTCATATAAAAACGAGGAAGCAGGAGACCCATCCACTGTTTGTGTTAAGTTTTTTCAGGGACTTGAGCAGGATGAAATAGAATTGCACTCAGATGCCTGAGTCCACTTAACTCATTTAATATGGAGAACAGAATCTGGCCCTGGTGTTAATAAAAAGCATGCTAAGTATGGTGTCAGATTTATCTGGTTAACATAAAAAGCTATGGAAGTCAACAGCTCATGTTTGCAGAATGTGCATTTAATGGCATTTGTTGGCCAGGTGAGGTGAGGGCTAATGCTCAACTCGGTAACATTTCTCTGTTTCTTAGTAACACAATCCCTTTAGAAAGGAACATCTGATTAAATTCTGGAATTTCCAGAAATCAGGTCCACTGATGTTGGCAAAAAGTGCTGCCTGCAGATGGACTGGTGTGGCAAGCAGTTGAATCCCTGTTAACCACCCCTCTGGCTTCATATGCATACCAAGAGCAGCAGCTTAAATTACTGTCTGTAGGGTAGACTCCGTCTCCAAAAGAAATAAGAAAGGTTTACAGGGAAGGTTTGAGTTTATAGGGAGCATGGGAAAGAAGCACTTATGGAGGGGAGGAGAAGAGCAGTGTCTGGGTTTTGGGTGAGTGGTGATGGAAAAGGCGTAGATGTCGTGGGGGAAATGGAGGTGGAAGAAGGCAGGGAACAGATAAATGGGTAGGGAGCATAGCAGAGGCTGGGACTTGGAAGGCTGGAGGGACTTGGTGGGGTAGGGAGTGTTGTGAGGAAAATTTAAATCTGGTCATGTCAAGTTGACTGAACTCCCAGAAGTCTTTTCAAGATGATTCAGTTAATGACTGTCAATGATTGGCCTAAAGTTAACCCCAGTAAAATGCCAGGGAACATCAAGAACAATAGAACCATAAATAAAACCATAACATGGTGACCGCTGGGACTAATTAGTGTGCAAATAGGAAAATATTCCAGATGTGTAAGGCTGAGTTGTTGTAAATTTTGGATCTATAAGCCAAATATCATATAACAAGCTTGGCTAGTACTGGTGATGTCACTAAATGGTTAAATAGCAATGAGCAAGTGAGATATTCATTTGTTGTTTGCGATTCATGGATTTGCAAGGGAAAAGATCAAGCCCTTGGAATCGGAGCAGTGCAAACCAGGAAGCTCACTCAGTGCGGCTGACTGAGGGGAGTGACTCCTGACTAACAGCTGTAGACAGACTGTGACACAGTGAGATTCACGCTAACGTGTTCAGTTTTTGTAACTGCCTGCTTATATACTGGCAGACCCAGTAAAGTGAGCTAATTGTTTTGTATTTGGTGAATATTTTTGTAGTCAATAAATCTTCTGACTGGTATCAGATGAGTACTGTGGGTTAATTGCATAGTTCTCCTTGCCCACAGAGAAGTAGGGCTCGAGTTTCAGCCCAACAAGGAGCAATGAGGACAAGGGGAGCAGTGACCCCAAAGCAGTGGCAACAAGTAGGGGGTACACCCCCTGTCAGGCCGCGCTCCCTGTTTAGCTGGCAGGCAGGGGAGCAGGTGGGAGCACCAGTGCTTCCCCTGCCAGCATCGGAAGTGGCCGCGGGACTTCCAGAAGTGGCGCAGCTGCTTTTCAGTGAGTGATCAGCCGCTGGGGTACCCCCTCCCCCGCCAGTCACCGACTGGTGTCATGTGCCCCCTCCCGACTCGAGAGGCACTAGTCACCCATGCCCCAAAGGGATGAACTGGTCAGGTATGCAGAAGTCTGGGGCTAGAGTGTGGGTAGCAAAGAAGGCAAGCCTTGGGGTGGGGAATGGAAATGGAAAGGATGTTTGAGGTTCAGGAGCTAGAGTTGTAAGGTAACAGAGTTCTGGAGTGGGCATAGCAGACACACCAGTAGGATTGGGGAATGTGGGGAATGACATGGAGTCCCTGCATAAGGAAGAAATGGCAAGGGGCTCCATCCATTGTTACCACTTTACAAATACTGAACAGTGCTTTCTTGAACCACATTTCCATTTTGTTTCCTGACCAATTGCTTGGAAACTTTGTATTTGAGAGAAGGTGGCAACATTTGGACACTTAGTGCAGAACAACCTTTCCTGCTATAAAAGAAACCTCAGCTAAGCCCTTTATGGGAATATGGATGTCTGCCATGATACAAGATCACTTGCCTTTCTGCTGGAGTGAATATGGGCAGCAGCACAATGTTTTATTTTGGGTAGCTGTCACTTCAAATTGCCAAATATTTGAGAGGAATAAAGTCACACCTTCAAGGTCATGAAGGTAGGCTTGCCTGTAGATCCCACTGATTTTCCTAATGCACAACAGAAGTCAGGTTACTGGAGGAGTTGTGCAGTCTTCTGGAACAAACATGCTGTCACGTGGTAATAGAAGTGCTTCAGCCCCTTCATAAATGAATAGCATTTCCAAGTTTTCAGGGACTCGTAGACCCAGAGAAGTTGTTACCATATTTTTCTTGTATATAACCTGCACCTTTTCCCCAAAAAGCAGTTGGGGAAGATTGGGTTGTACACTATATGTGAAGAAAATAGCTCCCCATGGGTCCAGAAATTTGTTTGGGGCGGGGAGCAGGAGAGAGAGAGGAGCAGTGGCAGCATTAATGGTTACAGCTCTGGGAGATGCAGCAATTAATCCTGCCATCACTTCCTCCCTCCCCACACTCCATTGTCAAAATTCTGGATGCCTGCAGAGCCACCTTCCCCAAACATGTGCCAGATCAGGCTGGCATGCAGGATTGGCTAATGGCCAGACCTAACACTCCAGGTCAAACCTGGTGCACAAGGTCTGACCTCATTTGCTGGCTCTGGAGCCACATGCTGGGTTGGACCCAGTGTTGCCAAGTCTGGAACCTCATGCTGGCTCCTAGACAATGTGGTGGGTCACACCTGGCACACACCTCTGGAGCCAGCACCACCATTGTGGGATTGGACTGGGCTATATGGTTGTCCCCTATGCTAGCACAGTAGCATTGGGCCCTACCTCATGGCTCTGGCCCCAGCACCAGCATGGTCAGATTGGGCCCTGTCATGCAACTGTGGCCCTGTGGTGGCTGGATTGGGCCCTACCACAGGGGGCTGGGACTGGGGCCAGTGGACAACCCCCAACTCTGGCACATGTCTCCCAAACTCCAAGATGACAGCCCCAGCATGCAGCTCCATTGTGTGACCCCTTAGTCTTGGAGACTCCAAAACTCAGGTATTTACCTGTACTCTTAAAGTAAGATCTTTTACCTTCTTGGGACCATCCCAAAATAGGGTGTGTATTATATTTAGGGGCGTGTTCTTGTAAGAGACTACAGTGTGTTGTTCCAAAGGTGCAACTACTGAGTTGTGGCATTTGACATACCTCCTTTGAAGCAGGAGGTGAGGAGATTTCTTCATAGCCTAAATTTTGTATTTACCATATTTTTTCACATTTAATCTGCCCCTGAGTATATCACATGCCCTGTTTTTTAAAAGGTGTCATGAAGAATAAAGTATCTCATCTTGGTTAAGTATCTAAGTAACAGCAGCCAGGGAGCTGAGCTTGCTGCCAGCCTTGTGCACAGGGTGGGGCCTACATACTCATCCAGCGCACTGGATCTAGGGCTGCACACCAGGTCCAGCCCTGCACAGGAGGCCTAATATGGCACATTGGGTCTAGGATGGTGCAATAGGCCCACTGCAGCATAGCAGGTCTGGGGCTGAATGCCAGGTATGACCCCACATAGTAAGTCTGGGGCTTTGCAGTGGGCACAGTGGATCTGGGGCCGTGAAATGGGTGTGATCCAGCATGGCGTATCTGACCCCATGCGGCAGGTTGAGTCCAAGAGTTTGCGCAGTCTCAGACTCGGCACACCAGGTCTGACCTGGCACATGGGCTCTAGAGCCTGTGCAGAGGGTCAGACCTAGAACACTAGGTCTGGGGCTGTGTTCTGGGTTGGACTCCATGCACGGGCTCCAGCAGCAGGCCAACCACATGCACTGTCCTGATCCAGGGCACAGATGGTTAATGCTGCCACAGCATGCCCCCCCCCC